TTATAACATCAGATGGTTCTTCGAGTATTAGTTACCGGTGGGTTTGAACAAATCAGCTTTATAACTCTCACTCAACTATTTTCTTTAAAATTTGCAGGAAAAAAAACACAGACAGGAGAGAAAAAAAAAGAGAACGCATCGCCTTCTCCGGTGGCCGGTGCGTCGTCGCCGGTGCCGTGAGATCTTTAGTATATAAAAGCTTGGTTTTTTCTTTTGCTTGTCCATGTTCTTTGCGATGTTCTTCTAATAGGGCAATAATTTTTGGGTTCCGTCGTGGGGTTGAGATCTCAGATCTAGATTTGTCGGTTTCGATCTGGCAGATCCGTCTTCGTATGAGGTTTTCCAGCTGCCTCTGGCCTCAGATTTGTCTGGTTTATGTTTTTCAGCTTTCGTTTTCCGGTGTCTTCTCCATCCTCGATGCTTGCGTTGAAGGTGTTTGAAGAGATGGTGTTGGGAGCGGTGGTTTTGGGGTGTTGCGAACTGGTCGTGGCGAAGGTTTGTGGTAGACTTTGTGGTGGTTAGGTTGGTCTTTGTCTCTGCTCTGGTTTCCGATATCGTTTGGCTTAGTCGATCTCCAGTAGGGCTTTGGTCTTTTGTCTTGTTCGTTGTAGTATAGGATTTAGTGCTGCGTGTTTCTGCTTTGGTTTTAGATTGATGTCTCCACAAATCATTTTAATCTGTTCCTTCCCTCGATCTTAATCGGATCGCATCCTTCACCATCCCTTCCCATTGAAGCTTTGGTGTGTCGATTAAGCGGCTCATTTAGCCTCCTCCACTCGAAGTTAACAACAGGTTTGGTCGAGATCCGTTTGGTTTGTTGCGCCCTACTCACCGGTTATTTGTTGACTGTGTTTCAACTTATCCGGCCTCGACTTCTTTACAACAGTCCTAGCCTATGGGGAGGTACCGTTTAGCCATCTTAAGGGTTAGCAATTGTTACAATTTCTGAAGTCTCCACACATCAAGCGAGGACTTGAAGAGTTGAAACTGCGCTTGGGTATTGACGGTTATCCGTCGATAGCTGATATGTTTTGGTTCTCGGGTTGGACATGTTAAAATTGTTTGTTTGTTATGACTAGTTTAATTCCTTCTTAACACGCTAGTTCTAGTCTTGGTTTATTGTGTTTGTTTCATCGCTACCCGTTAAATCTTCGGGCAACGCTCCCCGATAATCTTTCGGGCAACGCTCCCCGGTAAACTTTCGGGCTCTGCTTTCAATGTATGCGTATGTAAAGTGACCTTGTTTTATATAATATTATTCAGTGGAAAACAACAAAAAAAACTCTTACTCACACTGTACTAATATTGAAACAGATTGTTATAATCGATTTTCACTTAACGTATACATTTTTTAATCATTACAAAATCTGTAATAGTGGGTACATATCCGGAAAATTAGTTTCAAGTTCGTTTCATTTCCAATTTTGGAGAAACAAAACAATATTCAGATTGGACTTTGCCTTTACGGTAACCTAACTGATGTAATATGGCCCATATAACAAGGTCTATTTTATTTTGGGCTTTAGTGTGGCCCATCCAGATTTTAGTTTTGATGGTTTTACAGCTTTTGTGTAACTACATTACATACGTCTTTTACTTTTCTGTTTTTTCTACAACT